ATTCAATTCCCCTTCTGCATAGGGAGGTCAAGTCATCTCAACGTTTTGCGTGTCGCGCTGCCTACATCCATGCACGCATGCCACATACATACAACTTCCAGCCACCCCCCCCCCCCGGGTGCCTCTGAACCAGGCTTTGTATGGCGGCAATGCAATGGAAAAGAAAAGAAGAAAAAGTTGGAAATCGAGCCCACTTGTAGTCGTCGACCGATCGCCCAGAGCTCTCGCTCTTCCTGAATGAGACTAGCGCTCTACACTCGAGGCGCCGTATTCGGAAAGGTCGTGGATCTCCCGAAAGGGGGAGGCGGTTAAAGAGATCTACTGCAGTTACTCTGCTCGTCGGTGCTACTAGGTACAAACGACGGGCTCGGTCCAGCCCAGTGATAACGAATACTCTGTACTATGTATTACTATCACCCGCCGACCTACCTAGACCTAGATATCTCACAGCTTCGAATTCCCCTGCAACAACTCGACCGCCGCATTGCTGATACAAGATTTGCCCGTGTCCTTCACTTTGGCCTGGTACACGACTTTTCCACCTTCCTTCCACATCTCCGTGACGATGGTCTGGCCGGGCAAGACGGTGCCGCTGAACCGGACTTTAATATTCTTAAAGGGGCCGTACGCTTGGAAGACGTGTTTGCCCGTGATTCCAAAGGTGGCCAGGCCGTGCAAGATGGGGTCCTTGAAGCCGCCCGCGGCCGAGAATTTCGGGTCGATGTGCAAGGGGTTGCGGTCGCCCATCAATCTGTACAGGGCCGCGAGGTCGTCGGATGTCTTTTCCTCGACGACCTTATCTGGGGCACGGGATGGGGCCGTGTTGATGGCCGTGGCGGCGCCGCGGTCGGTCGGTTTGCGCTGGCCGCCGAAGTTGCCGGATCCGCGGATGAACGAGACGCTTTCGTTGTAAAAGACGGGTCGGCCTGCGCTGTCGACGGTGGTGGCGCCCCTTCGTACAAGGGCGGCGTTTCCCTTGTCGATGACTTCGACCAAGCTTGTTTCTGTCTTGAGCGTGCCCGATGTTGGAATGGGGAACTGCTTGATCTCTAGGTATTGCTCTCCGTGGAGGAGCATGCGTTGGTCGTAGTTGGGGACAATATCTTGCACTTTCCAGGGCGTGGTCGCGGAATACGTGGGTACAATGCCGAACGTCGGGAGAACCTCGAAGTTCGGCGAGTTCTCATAGACGAGGTCGAGGTCGGTACGGTGCGCGCCCAGGGAAAGGTTGTACAGAATAACATCCCGATCGTCATAGGTGTAAATTGAGGGGGTAGGCTTCATTGATATAGCTTCTTGAATTTTTGCAATGTATTTGCGGTTGGCGCGGTTCTCTTGGGACAATGCTGCGGCCTGTCATACCGTTAGCGTCTGGAAGACCCAAACTCTCGAGACATCTAGGACTTACAATCTTTGGATTCTTCAGTACGTTGCCCATGGTGTACTTGCTTCCGTCCTGTGGGGTATCTGGATTATCTGCTTGACCATTGTCAAAATTGCAGATCTCTGGGAATGCCTGAAGGTTTCATCAGCGACTGTCATTCCGAATCTGCCTATCCGTGTCGAAGACTCACCTGCGCGACCTGTTCCACACTCGGTACGCCCTTGTCGTGGTCAAAATCAACGCCCCGAGCTCTCTGCCAACGAGTGGCTCCAATCCACCCACAACCGGATTCAAACAGCTGTCCTGTTGCTGGAGGTTTCTCGCTACACAGGGCCGCAACAACAGGCGCGACGTATTCGGGTTTGACGGCCTCAACGTCTTTCTCGGGCCAGACTGTTCGAGTCATGTTCGTCCCGGCTGTGGGGGCTAGTGAGTTGACCACGACATTATATTTGGCTCCTTCTCGAGCGATGGTCTTTGTGAAGCCGACGATGCCGCATTTCTATCAAGGGCGTCATTGGTTATTTCTGCTCTGATGACGGGGTTGAGACGGACTTACCGCAGCTGCATAATTGGCCTGTCCAAAGTTTCCATAAATGCCGCTCGTGCTGGTAATGTTGACAATGCGTCCGTATCTCTGCTTCAGCATGATGGGAAAGGCGGCGCGAGTGACCAGATATGTTCCCCGCAGGTGAATGTTCATGACCGAATACCACTGCTCGTCTGTCATGTTCATGAACGCCTTGTCTCCTAGGATTCCGGCGTTGTTGACCACGACATCGATCCGACCATAGGTCTCTACCACTCGTCGCACAATAGCTTCTCCTGCCTCGACGGACATTGGCACGGCAATTGCCTCGCCTCCCCTAGACTTGATATCGTTGGCGACCTTTTCGGCATTCCTGACATCGTTCACCGCAACCTTTGCACCAAGTTGAGCAAAGTGAAGGCTGTACGCTCTTCCTAAACCAGCACCACCGCCAGTTACCAGGACCACTCTGTCTTTAAAGCTCACCCGACTTCCAGCTCGAGCGTTGGTCTTCGGCAAGGATTTCGCCTCGTCGAGGAATTGCAGAAGCGTTGCAGGTTCTTTTGGATGCTCTGCACCGACCCAATTCACAATTTTCTCCCAGTTTTCCAGCACCATATCCGCGGTCAAGTCCTCTGGGCGTGCAAGGAATCCTTTGCTCCGCTCCCACCGGATCTTACTGTAGTGACCTGCCGCCGCCTCGAAGATACTTCCACTCTCATGACACTTCTCGCTGACTAACACGCCCACAAGCGGAACGACCCAGTCGGGTTTCATGACTTCCATCATGTCTTGGGTCCAGACGGTTTGGGTCAGTCTGCTAGCCGCACCGGGTGCGAGCACGTTGCAAGTGACGTTGTACTTCGCTCCTTCTTTGGCCAAGGTCTCGCTGAAACCGACTAGGGCCATCTTCGCCGCTGCGTAATTGCTCTGTCCAAAGTTTCCAAATAGACCAGATGACGATGACGTGTTAATGATTCGACCGTACTTCTGCTTACGCATGTACGGCCACGCCGCACGCGCTGTCTTGAAAGCGCCATGGACATGGACATCCATGATGCTATCCCAGTCTTCAGTCTTCATATTTCGGAGTGTGATGTCGCGAAGGATACCGGCGTTGTTGATGAGGATATCGACTCTCCCGAAAGCATCGATGGCAGTCTTCACGATCTTGTCGCCATTCTGGACGGGATCATAGTTGGCCACGGCAATACCACCTGCATCCCTTATCTCCCTGACCACAACGTCGGCGACCCTGGAGTCGCCTCTCCCGCCGACATCTTTGCCATTGAACGTGCCGCCGAGATCATTGACCACAACCTTGGCGCCGCGCGAGGCGAGAAATTTGGCATACTGCTTTCCCAAGCCGTTGCCCGCTCCAGTGATGATAGCAACTTGGTTGTCGTAGCGTAATTGCGAAGCCATACTTGTCAGCGTTCCATACTGCTGGCCGGAACCAGAGTCCAGGACAGCGAGGCAGTGTCCTTATAGAACAGCACTCGGCAATAAGCACCACGGACCGAGGCACTCACTCCGCGGAGTGTGAGAGCGCGTCAACCCCGCAAAATTTGGTAGCGCTGTCCGTTTCCCCACAGTATCAGGCTCTCGATGCCAGGGGCCTCGGACAAGCAATGCTTGGTGTATTCAGAACAAGCCACCGGAGTTGCGCACAAGGTTCGTGGGAGAGGGGGGCTTACCAGATCCGTCTCTCGAACAATCGTGCTTGTTTGTTGCTCCATGGCAATGGAGGCACCATGAATGAGCACATTATGTTCTTACTGTAACAAGACAGCCGGTTCGTTGGCGATTGCAAGGCTCGGTCGTAGGATGTAGATTGTGTCTCACCCGAGGTACAAAGGGCCGCTCCAGTGCCTGCGCGTCTGACAATTTCAATTCTGCCGGAATGACCACAACGACCAATTAAAGGCACAAGAATTGGGTCATTTGTCCATCGGCTGACAAGATCATCTCTGTCAGACATGGGCTACTTCGGCCAACTCGTGGCATCTATCGCACTTCACAACGGCAGCCATTTCATTCTTCTCGCCAACTACCGTCGCATTTCAGAACAAACTCCAAACCCAAGGCTGCTGAGGCTGGATTTCGCCACATCCGTAGGTTGAATTCTGAGCGCCGTTGCTACAACATGACGCTGGTGCCGAGACGACGGCCCAGGAGCTCAATGTCGTCATTATTTCGACATCACAGCCATGACAAAATCCAATTGACTTTATAAGTGCGAGTCTGCATTACCACCAGGACCTTACTGCGCGGTTTATCAGGATGTCCTTTGATTCGCTTACTGGAGAACTCGCCCTTTGGATATAACCATCTCATCGAGACAAACGCACAAGTCGTGGAACTTTGTTCCATATCCTCTAGAGAACCAAACATGCCTCGCCTCCTGATGGCCCTTCCCAGACCTCGTACGCTCCCTCACATCCGCTTTTACCAACATCCACGCCCTCTCTCGACTTCGGGCCGCCTCCGCGAGTCCAATCAACACTCTCAACCTTCATCCGCCGACAGCAAAACGAGCAGGCCTGCCCAAGACAGCCTCCCAGGATGGGGCGGTCGACACGGTCGAGACCACGCGGTGAAACGGCCCGCCCACGACGTACAAGCAGAGACGTCACAACAAGGGATGAAGGATCACGAGGAAATGAAGGAAGGGAGCGATGCCATTTCACGCAGAGATGAGAGGGGAAATAACAAGAGGGCAAAGGAGGAGCATCCCAAGGCACCGGAGCCGGTTATCGGTATGAATGACGAGAGAGGATCAGTGAGTCTCACGACATTGTCCTTTCCAAAAATGAGATCCTGAGCTGCCCTGCTATGATAATACTTGAGAAGTCACCACATTACGGGGTTGCACGCTAGGACCAGACTTGCTAACGACAGAACAGAAAGCTCAATAAATGCACAAAAAGCATGCCAGCAAGGCCATTGAGAATGGTATCGGTCATGGGTGTTTCATTCGCATATTCTCTACATATTGGAACAACAGGACCGTTATTTTGGTTTTAATTGTCCTTCGTATTCTTGTCGGCTTTGGCCTTTGCTGCATCCACATCAAAGGCCCACGTGTTACCGCCCGACATGAAAGGACAGTATATCATTCTTCCCAGCCTCCACTACAGAATCCTCGGCAATCCTCCTCCCACCATCTCCCTCGACAAAAGCAATGGGAGCGTCGCCCATAACTTTCCGTGCTACATCCGCAACGGTGCTGCCTTTCTTCACCAGCACACAGTCCCTAAAAACAGCCGTAGACCCAGCGGTTCCCGACCCGTACGTGTGGATGTTCCTCACAGGGAACACTGGCACAAGGCCTAGCATTGCTGCTGCGCGACTCAAGACCTGCACCACGCCGGTGCTGCCGAACCGGTAGAGCACCATATCTTTGAGATTCTCTATCCGCTGTTTCAACTTGTCATCCATCTCCTTGAGTCCGCCACCGTTGGGATCACCCTGCTCGATCAGATCTTCCCGGGTATCCAGGTATTCCGCCCCTTCTTTGTACTTGATGTAGCCTTGCTTCGTCAGCCGTCGCAGGAACACTTCCGAGATCGCGCTGCATAGAACGATACGGTCCGCCGGCTGCTGTTTTGCGATCTTGGCAATGTTGCGATCTGCATCTGGATGGTCGATCTTGTTCAGGGCGAGCACCGTGGGGAATTTCTCGTCCGTGAAGGCGTTGACGACCTTGAGGATGGTTTCGTCGCTCCATTCCTCGAGGGGCTGTTTTAATTGTAATTTGTCCAGACACCGCGCGACGACTGCGCTGGTACTGCCGTAGCCTGAGAACTGTGCCTGGAGGGTTTCCACCGGTGAGGCCTTCACAGCGACATGCCGTCTCTTGATACTCCCCCATTTCTCCATCAAATTGCCTTGAATCCATCGAACGATCTCGCCTCGCAGCCATTCGATGTCTACACTGGGGTCGTAGCCCCGAGTGGCTTTGCCGTCGGCGTCTGTGGTCCCGCTGACGTCCACCACGTGTATGAGCGCATCCGCATGGCGCAAGTCGTCCAGAAACTTATTGCCCAGTCCTCTGCCCTCGTGTGCACCGGGGACCAGCCCGGCAACGTCAAGGAGTTCTATGGGCACGGATCTCTTGCCGTCGACGCAGGAACCATAGTTCGGCCGGCACCTTTCGGTAAGGCCATGTCGCTTGCAGGCGCAGTCGACCTGGAGGTATCCGACCGCTCTTTGAGGGTCGATCGTCGTGAAACTGGTATATCAAACAGAATTTAGTCCACGCAGAGCAGGTCAGGCTGAGGGCTCTTATATCTCTTACGGGAAGTTGCCTGCACAGAGATCATCAGCCGGGTGTCCACCTCTTTACTCGGGAAGAATCATCGCGCACTGACCGACTTTCGAACTAGCGTCTGTCAAGCTGCAAAGGGCTTGTGAGTCGGGGAACATCCATCCAGTGGGCAAGAGTGGAATACCTGTTGAGGGTAGTCGACTTCCCTGAGGATGGCTTGCCCACAAGTCCAATGAGTGGATCTCGGGGCATCGTAGGGACGCACTCTCGAGCGTACGACTATACCTGGCAGGAGAAGGAAAAGAGGGCGATTTCCCCGGCCTGGACGGCCGCCGAGTTATCAGACTAGCAGTCTGGTTGTTCGTGTGGTGTAGTGGAAAATTGTCCAAGCCTCAAGTGGGCGCAGAGAGAGAGAGAGAGAGACGCATGTGAGGCGGCACCTTAAATGACGTGCGATTTGGATATCGAATCAAACTCCACGTTCAACCCACAAACCCTCCTCAAAGCCCTCAACGAAGTTCCTTCTCGGTTTTCCTGAACGAGTTTAATTCTGTACCTGCCGCGTGGCCTTTTTGTTGGAGGAAGCGATGTCTTTATACGAACACGACTCCGGGGCTGCGAAACGGCAAGGAGACATCGCGGCGTTTCTTGGACATATTCAACCGGCTCGAGAATAACGAAGCAGAATGCTTCCGTATCAGATTTTCTATCGCGTTGCTTTTCTCGTCACGGCACTTGTGCATCTCCGGTTCAATAATTTGATCGAGACTTTCGTCGCGATTGTGGTCATCTGTCTGTCCAATTCCAGGCAACCCATCTTCCAAAGCATTTTGCGCTTGCATTCTGTGGTTCTGATATGCTTCGTCCTGGCATTTTGCTTCAATACAGTTTCTGCTCGTCCTGGACAGAGGGTGCTCCAAGGGGAATTCCAAATACTGAACGTCCGTGCCACTTTCTCGAGGATTCACAAGTGCGCTCAGTGGTGGCTGACCGTGCTGCAGTTTGATGATATTGAGACCCCAGATGGTTTCGGAAATATACCACTATCATACAACGGGTTTGTGTTCAACGACTTCTATGCTTTCAAACCATCGCATCCCAGATTGGACGGCATCATTTCCGCTTACGACCTGAACTGTGCTGTCTCAAGGCCGAATGCATTGTACGGAGCCGCAAGTGCCAGTCCGTTGGTGAAACCACAAGACCGCCAGGGTACACCAGGTGAACGGCCATCCATCTGGTTATATAATTCATCGGAGACCTTCACTGTCCACGCGCTGAAGATAAAGCCGCTGGACATGCCCATTGGCTCTGTCACGATCAACCTACAAGGTTTCCGTTCGAATGATTCAGACGCTACTTTGACTTGGAAGGTCGATTTCCCTGCCGATTTCCATGACGTTCTGGACGTACGAGTAGAGAAGTTCACCAGGAAGACATGGGATGGCCTAAGCAAGCTGGAGATGTGGGCTGTTTTTCACTTGGACGATGTCACAATGGAAGACTGGGAGTTCTGCGTCGATGATATTGAGCTCGAAGTTGGATGACATACTTGGAATTGAGCGCCACAATTTGTTTCATCAGTATTCTACCGTCGCATCCAGCATAGGGGCTCTTTGAGGACCTTGGAGACATGGATGTACAATTGCTACCCTCTGATCAAGGGCAGATACTTCCACCGCGTAAAAGCCGTTCGAGTTATGTTTTGTGTCTTGCAGGTTGATTTGCTATTTGACCCCTTCGCGTCTTGCTTTGCTTGAAATCGCTGCCTGACTCATAATCTGCCTCTCTCTGAAGAGAAGATTTTGTTGATGGCCTCCTGGGCGGCGAGAAGATCTCTCAATTCGTTGCAGTGCGACTTCCGACCTTCATCGACGAGACAAATTTGCCACGTCCTCGGCGCAGTGGACTGTGAGATGACCGAGATCTGCTCGAGGTGGATTGTGCCTTGGATGGTACTACAGTACAAGTACAAGTAATTTTCCATGCGGAAACGCGCCTCTGATTTGTTCAGGCCAGGAACATCACCACTCCAATTGGGCCGGAAATGTCATCCCACAAGACCTTTTTATCTGCACTAAACCCCCCTTGGGCCATGACGTATGCGCAATGAGGCATGTTAGGGCTCTCCTTGAGCGGAGCCTTCCATGGGCCTCACGCGAAGTTTCGAGATCACCAGCAGAAAACGAGAAGCTGGCCAAGAAGGGATCATCACCTCACGGGGCCATCATCATTGGCCTCTCATAGAAGTGACGTCTTCGCAAGCCACAATGGCTTCAGGCTTAAATAAGAACACCCAGGCAGATCCTAAGTCTGACTTAGATGTCCTCTTACCAAAATCAATCGTACGCCGATAACAATAATTAAAACCCAACCCGAATTTGTGTCTTCTAGATACAGCGAGACAGCTCCAAGACCTAGAGGGAATTAAAAAAGCAAAACAAACACAGCCATGTCCGAACAAACCTTCCACATTACCGGCGAGGACGTCCGCAAGATGGAGTCGAAGGAGTCCAAGTTCCATGGAGGCAAGACACCCAAAGATTCAGATATATCGGCAATGAAGGTAGGTGACAAAGTCATGGTGTTTGCTGTTAGATTTGCCCTTTCGTCAGCTCTCAGCTAACATCTCCTCCACCCCTCTAGCAACTCCTCTCGGAACAGGGATCCAAACAAGACCAAATCGACCGTGTCAAGGCGAACCTGCCTCTCCCCGACCCCCCCGTCGGAGGAGCAAGCGCAGATCTCCAGTCCGCGGACCAACGCACCGTGAATGTCGGCAGTGGCGGCGTGAACGTCAAGTTGGGCACGGGATCGGCTTCGGGCCTGAGAGAACCGGCAACGGCTGAGAGCAGCGTGAGAGTGGATGGGGAGGAATTCAAAAAGGCCACCGAGCCGCCTCGTTCATGAAGGACGTTGAACAACGTCGTCTATTGTTGGTGGCAGAATCACCAGACGGATGAAGACAGGGCTGGAAGAGGAGCATGAACTAGCCCTCAGAAAGATGGCGCTCCGACAGCTTGAAGGATCACATGGAGCCGGAGGAACCTTTCTTCGGGAATCAAAATTCTGCATCGCGGGTAGTCCATGTCGACTACCACTCGATGGTTTCGACAAGGCTCAATGGCTAGTAGCTCAAAAGAGCTCGCTATATCAGCGATTGCTCAATAGAGCTCGACATTCATCTGAGCTTTCTTCCGCTCGATCATACTTGCCTTTCTGTGTAGCAGCGCTCGTCCCCATGACCGTAATCATTCGGCATCAATCTGTTTTTATACAGCACATCCAGCCTTGGATGTAATCGTGTGTTGCTGACACGTTGACGCCCCGTTGATATCTGTGCCTGCTCGTAGCCAGAGAACGCATGACAAGTCTAGTGTCCTCATACAACCTTGTCACACCATCAGAGTATGTGTATTACTACAGTTGAGTTCGGTACAATTCCACCTCAAGCAAACCTCAATGTTTCGGAATCAAACCCCGGAGACTCAAATCATACACGACGTCTTCCACCTTTTTGACACTGTATTTGAGCCCATCCACGCGTCGGCGGAGGATATCGTTCTTGAGATTTAGCAGCTGGAACCCGGCGTGGACGTCCTTTGTAAATTTTGAGATCTGCAGCGGTCGGGCGTAGTCGCCAAGGGTTACGGCGTTGGGGGCAAGACGGGCAAGCTCCTCAATCATGGCAGTCAGGGCGAGGAGATAGTCTTCGATCGTGACGTGGAAGGCATCTTCGTCTTGCAGGTTGACCGGTACTGTTGATGAGAAGCCGGTCAGTCAGCCCCGGATTCGATCAGTTCAATGTGTGTCGCGCGTGTGTAAAATTAGCACCAACACATACCATGTAGTCTCTGTCCGACTTCTTCCAGAGTCACCAGACTCCCGCTCTTGAGCCACTCACACATTTGTACGTTGCTGACCACGTTCTGAATCTCTCTCTGCCATATCGAGTTCCATTTGTAGAAGGGATATTTCGAGGCGGCCTGCGCCAGACTTTTCACCGTCGCGGCCTGTTCTTTGAGGGATTCAGTGCAGGGTGTGAGGACGGATTCTTCGAGGTCCGCAGTGGGCGTGTTGTGGATGCGAGAGAGGATTGATTGCGTGACTCGGCCTTGTTTTGAGAGGGTTTCGACAATCTCCTTGAGCTCGTCCCGGATCGCGGATTCTTTGTCGATTTTTGCTTGAAGAGAGCTGAAGATGGCGGGGTCGACGTTGGGCGAGGGCACCGGGGCCGCGTTGTTGTTGGCCATGGCCGTGTCGCCAGACATGATACCTCTACAGATCGATTGCTTTCATGCCACCCAAGGCATATATGGGCGTGGTTGTTCTGTAGAAATAGAGTTGGAAGGGCCTGTGAACCGCTGCTTGGACAGAAGCGCCCTCGCTTGAAAACAAGGTTGCTATGTACACCAATAATTGCAGCACTACTGCGTGCCTGAGAATTCACCGATTTCAGATGAATATTGACGATGGCAAAGACTTGTTTTGTGCTCTGGGCCTCTACGGTCATTTCTCCATTGTACAGACTGTTGGTTTAGAATCATATATATGCTAGGGCAGCAAAGCTCGAGGTCCGCAGGTGTGTTGAGATGCCGAGCGCCCAGGCCAGAATTCCGCAGCGAATTTTTCGCACTCTCAGAAGCTCTATCGAGCCTTCAGAACGCTCGCACCCCGGATTCCACAATTAACCCGAGATTCGGTCTCTTCTCCAAAGCTTTGCTCAAGGCAAAGGACAATGATGAAAAGGATGTTGTTCGCGTCACAAGGCGGCAGTGTAAGGCCTCGGACACGGTGCAAGAGATCTCTGTGCAAGCACAGAGAGTCTCGAGCGAGGTTCAAAAATAAATTTAATCAATGTTTGTCACCGTAGTGACATTTCAGACTGCAAAATATGTTAGCCCAGGTCAATGAACAAGCCAGCTCTCGATGTGAGACTCACGATTAAACTGAAAAGAACAGATACTACACTTGATCTAAGCCAGTTGGCAAAGCTGAGACATCATTAGCGTGGTTGCTTTGGGAGGCGAGGTTCAATGGTACTCACAGAGCTGAGAAAAGAAAGGAAAAAAAGAATTGGTGCTCAGGAGCAGCAGAGGTGATATTTAAATGATTTGGGGACTCGCAAAGACTAGCAGCTTGGCATACATTGAAATCTTGGCAGCAATGCCCCTGCTTATTACGCAGTCTTGGCGCGAAAAGATGAGTAAAAAAAACTCCTTGCGACAAGCTCCAAGGAACTGGGAATGAAGATTCGAGAGCTAAACCACTCCAAGAAGCAACAACGGGTATAGCGGGAGGCCCACCCACCACCAATCACCGACTGATGACATCCCCCTCATCACCTTGAAAGCCATCCGACATAAAATTTCGTCATCGTTTCGATAGGACTGCGGCTCCAAGCCAGTCAGGTGCGCGAAACAGGTCGAATCAGCATTTTGGTTTTGCAGTCCTCTGTACTGTAGATGGAGAAATGAGTTACAGTATGTTGGTTCTAACAGCGAGAAACTCCCCCTCGACCTGATGCCGGGTGATCGCGCTGAGATGAGTAAAAAACTGCTTGCGCCTCACCCCTGATCGGGACGGGAGGATGCCGACCTGTGCTCACCCCCGGCTCGCCCGAGCTCGGGTGAGAGATCACCCGTGTCGCACCAGTCACAAGGGCCAAAAGGTCTAGTGCTTCGGCATGGATGGTGCAACGCCGACCTTGCTCACCGTAGCGAAGAATAACGTTAACGGCTATGATTGGTCTTTTCGGTCCGCTGTCAGAGCATCCTCGAGCGCTGAGCATATCCAATTAAAACGCGGGCCTTTTTAAAAGCAGCGGCTCTCGGTCTACGGTTCAGAGCTAGCACAACCCCGAGTCTACTTAACCTATACGGATAAGGTACTATCCCCTGGGAGTCCTGATTTTTTAAGAATGCTACTGTACATTAAGCGAGAAAATCAATTTAAGCTTATTTCAAGCCAATAGAGTCACGCCATTCGTATTTAAGCTCAGATTTCATAAATCCACCTGCAAATATAGTGGATATTAGAATAATCCACTGCACTTGAACCGTTAGATTGGTCTAAGGAATATCAAAACCAAAAATCGCAATGCCCACCAAACTCTCTCAGGCCGCAGAGGGTGATAAGCTAAGAAATTCAAAATACTTATTATACCATTGAATTCCCCTTAGTCAGGCAATTTGAGAGGTGTAAAGTGCACTCAATTATTCAGGAAAATGAGGTCGAAGTTGCTGTCCGGAGGCAGTCCCCTTTGAAATCGGCCTGTCGCACGAACCACGCATTCTTGAGAGTCCATTCTGCACGGGGTTCGACGAGTTCGATATTCAATTCTCTCAGCAACGTCGGGATGGTTTCGTAAGTCTCAATCAATCCGATGGTTCTCCCAAGACATGTCCTTGTTCCATGTCCGAAAGTGAGGTCCGCTCGCTTCATACGATTGACGCGGTGATTGAATGTCTCTTCGTCCTCGTCAGACCCCTTCAACCACCGTTCCGGCACGTGCTTTTCAACCCGGTTCCCGAAAGTTGCGAGGTCACGGTGGACAGGCCATGCACACATCCCGACGACTGTACCGGCAGGGAGGCTCTGACCGTTGGGTAACTGGAACGTAATCGGCGTGACACGTTCTAGGGGTAGTCCCACTGCAGGATGGACGCGCAGTGCTTCTTTGATGCACGCGCCCAGATAGGGCAGCCTCTCCACGCTTGTATAGCTCAACAGGCCATCGGGGAGATCGGCGGTGTCGATTTCCTCTCGCAGCTTCTTACATGCCGCGGGAGTCTTCAGCAGGTAGTAGAGAACCGCTCTTATAGAGATGGCAGTCGTGTCGCTCCTCGCAACGATGTTCGTGACCATGTATGAAGCGATTTCCTTGTCATGTCCCGTTTGGTGATGTGTCTTACTGGCTTTGAGGAGCCTGCTCAGAAAGTCTCGCTCTTCTTGTGCCGAAAGCGTGGGTTTTGCCCGTCGCTCTCGGGTCTTGTCGACGGCAAGTTTCGCAAAGGTGCTGCTTTTTCGGGCAACGTACAGGTTGATGGGATTTCCCCTGAAAGGATTGTCGATCCACGCCATTTTTCCTACCTGCAGAATGATTGGTCAGCGTCCAGGATGATCTGGAAAGCGGGAAAAGTGCATCATCATGACGCTTTCGCTGTCTGTAATGCGCTAGGAAGAGCCTACGGAGCATAATGGTCCATGTCCGCTTCTAGCGACCGGATCATGCTACCGATGTCAGCCCTTTGTTCGAGGAAGCCAAATGAGTTGGAGCAGGTCATTTTCGAAATCACGCCGAAAGAATCTGCCCGGATGACCTTAATGCATGTCGGCTGAAGAAGTTACAACCGTTGCCTCACAGAAATGAAACCATTAGCTAATATCGATTCTGTTCGAGCATGATCTTCCCACAAAACTCGGCCTCCAGGTACCGCAGCAGTTTTTCCATCATCTTATCGATATGCCACTCGTTATCGGTGATTGTCGTCATGGAATACGCCGAGCTTACTGGACGCTTGATGGCAGAGTGATACAACATGTTTTGGGTGGTGAAGAAGGTCTCGACCGGCTTCCCTTTGTTCACCGCCATGAATGCATTGTAGAACTTGCTCTGTGTGACAAACAGTGAGCCTGGATCCACATTGACATGGAGCCTCCACCCTCACCTTGGGAAGGTTTGATTTCAACCCGTATATCACTTCAATACCTCTGGGGTCGACCACACTGATAGTGATGGGCCTGATACGAACAAGATCTCCATATTGTCGGTGTTGTTCAATTATGGTTTGTTCAAGGTGGCCTGCTCAGACAGCTGCCAGTTTCCACAAGTCCATGAATTTCGCCAGGAAGGGTCCTGGGATAGACCACAGTCCTGATCTCAAGGCGGTGCGAAAAGGAAGCCAAGTAGTCAGCAGGAAAGCTGTCAACGCCCACAGCAGTGGTAACTGGACGACTGTGTCCATCGATGGAGTCATCGTATTTTTTCTTGCGCACTATCTGCTCGACTTCCTGAAAAAGCATGAGGGATATATTGCAACTCTTTTTATGATCAAGACAACACCCAAAAACTTCTCCGATTTTTGCCAATCTCCCATGCAAACAACGGATTTTGTCCCGCGGATTAGGCTCTGCGAGGGACATTCGGAAATCAATCTCCGAGATTCTGCATTCCGAGCTCGAAATCTGACTTTCCACCCTTGTGCTACCAGGCTGTGACGTTGACGGATTCGGCTTACTCTATCGCACTACGCCACACCTCATTTTTTCCAACGTCGAGGCTGTCTCTGAAGTGGCTCTGGGTCTGCCAGTTCGATATCGAGGCGACACTTGGTTGGCATATTGGGGGGCTGGAATTGCACCGGCGGCGATATTTATCCACTCGCATTCAAGCAAAGCAAACCTAACCTCGTAGAGCGCGTGAATCTATGAACCATTTTTCTCAAATCTACACGGCTAATTCTCTTTTGCATTTTGCGTAGCCGCTACAAGCTGGTCCAAGGACTTAAGCACATTTCGCAGACTGTCGAAACTAGGAGCCGTCAAAATGTCAGCATTGTCCCTTTCTATATCGACGCGACCTGTGCGTGCGTCAAAGCCATGCTCTGCATCCGGTGGGAACTCGATGTAGACGTCAACACCATGTTCACACAACTTTTCCCATGCAACTTGGCTCAAGTGCCAGGAAACGGCAGAGTCGTTCTTGCCATGGAAAAGGACGGTTAACGGAAATTTTGAGGACTCTCCAAACGACAGGGGAAAGAGGTGCCTCTGAGCAGGTGGAACTGCGTTCACACCCTGTTCCGCGACGGCTTCACTCAAGCCCGGTACTCCAGCAATAGAGCCTGGAAAAAGTGCTTCGATATGCAACGTAGCGATTATGGCAAACCAAGGGTCTCGACTGGGGTCGGCAGGCCAGGGATAGCCAACGAGGACCTGGGGTCTGCTCGGCCGTAGCACTGTCAATTGTTCAATCACAGGCGCAATATCGATGTGTGGCTGGCCAAAGATATTGGCCCGCTTTGTCGTGTATATCGCATTGAGGGGGTCTAGCATGCCGTAGATTGACAACAGAGCGGTCGGTCTTTGCCCAGCGAGACTCGCAGTCGTCATTGCGAGATAGCCACCAGCACTGGACCCGGCGAGTATGACGGGTCCGACCTGAATATCAAGATGCATGGACAAGGAGTTCAGGACCCATTGATATGCGTCCACTGCATCCTGTACCACCTCGTCGTCAGACGATTCCGGCATCAGTCGATAATCGGGGGTTGCGAATATCCACCCGCGGTCGACGCACGCGTTGACCAGCCAATATGGCATGAAGGAATAACGGTCTCCGAGAATCTGTCGGAGAAAGGGTTAGACGGAAATTCTCTAACATGTGAGAGAAGATGCTCACCAGAAATCCACCATGGTAATAGAGCAGCACAGGAACCGGCCAAGAGGGTTTCGTTGAGGGGTAAAGCACGTCCAAGGAGAGCTGGAGGTCAGCCGACGTTTTCTAAGTCAGGACTATACTCTTGTAATCCTCGAAACCGGAAAGCGGTGCAGTGCTCATCTCAACAGCCAGGAACTTGATGGTTGGGAAATTAGAGTGATCTGGGTTGCGCGGGTTACTTATACCAACATCCGGAAGGGTGGTGGCTCGGAAATGCTCTGGCGCCCCAATCGGCAAATGTGGTGGGCGCGAACTTGATATGCTAGGCGTCTTCACATTCATCTGCAAGTTTCGCTCTTCGCTTCGACGGGTTTGATTTTCATTCTGTTTCCATTCTTTTCCCAATCGTGGAGTCATTGTCCAACTCAACCGCTATGCCCATAGCCCAAATCCTTGCTATGATGGGCAATTGCTCCTGGTATACTACCGTGGGCGTGGTATCTTTCCTATTGGGTACCTTCTATGTTATCTACTACCGATTCTTCGATCCTCTTGCTGGATATCATGGTCTATTCTGGGCGTCAATCACGAAACTTTGGAAGGTATATCATCTTTCGACCCGACACCTCCCCGAAACACTAGCCACAATGCATGAGCATCACGGTGAGGTGGCCAGTGGGACCCAATGACCTCTCGTTTCGCACCGAATCCGCGACCAGCTTGATTTACAAAGGCGGAAGGTCGCTGCCCGAGACCAAGTTCTACGACGGATTCACAGCTTTCAATCCCAACCTATTCGGGACGCAAGATGAATATGTGAGCTTTCCCGTGGACCGGGGAACGCAGCAGGTTGAACTAAACTCGTCCAGATTCACGCCGTTAGGTGTCTCCAGATGGCCCACTCATTCTCGTTGCAATCTATCAAAGTGATGGAGCCTTTCATCGATAGACACATCAAATTATTACGCAAGAACCAAGACCAAGCTGCCGACTCGGGTGTCGTCATAAACTTTAAGGAGCTGATCACATACTGCGTCTTCGAGGTTCTTGGAGACTTGGCGTTTAGCCAAAGTTTTGACTCTCAGAAGATTCAAGACCACACAACAAATTACCGCCAGTCAACGATCACATTTATCTAGCTTGTCTGTTGGGTCAGGTGCTAGAGCTCGTGCCGTATCTCAAGACGATCTGCGCGTACGCGCCTCCCCCATGGTTTTAGCGGTTGTTCGCCGCTAGACGAAAGCTGGTAGAACCGACGGGAGATTGTTTGAGACGAAGACTGGATCAAAAGTCGACAAGCAGGAATGACCTGTTATCTTGTCTCATAAATGCGGTGGCCTCCGTCACGGGAGCGATATTGACAGAATTGGGCATCAACACCGAAGCCTTTCATGGTTAGGGCTTCTCGCTTCACAACGACTTGGCTTGACTCTCTAACATTTGATAGGGTTACTGGATCACATACCATCTCGGGCACCCTAACACTATTATTCTCACACCTTCTACAGAGCCCTGCTCTTCTCCGCAGAATCGTGCGTGAAATCGACCCAAAGTTACCTAGGGCCGTCGAAGTTGCGCATCCGGTTGACAGTCTGGAGCAGACGCTGACATGTACAATGGCCTGTATCGAAGAGATCTTCAGGATCAACCCTGCCTTCACGTTGACCCTGACACGTAAGGTAACCGCTCAAAGGGAGATGACCTTCGACGGACATTTCGTGCCCAGTGGGGTGAGCTCTTTTTTCTGCTTAGCAAAGGGTCTGGTGAAGCTGACCTTTGGCACAGACAACAATCTTCAGCTCCAACCACGTCATGCACCATGACCCCGCCATTTGGGGTCCAACACATGACGTTTACGACCCGAACCGATTCTTGGGCCCGAATGCAGAATTGTGCAAGCGAAACCTGGCACCATTCAGTATGGTTCACAGAGTGTGCATGGGTCGGAATATGGCCATGATAAATATCCTCAAGGTTGTCACCACGGTCTTGAAGTGCTCCATGCTCGAGAGTACGAATCCCAAGGAAAAGATGAGAACCGTCAGTGTTGGCAACTCCGAAAAGGAGGGTCCTCTAGTAGTTCAAGTTCGGAGACAAAATCTCACCGGTAAACCTGGTGCTTAGCATGAACTCGAAATCGGCCGCTATGCTTAGTGCGAGGCTGGCGCATCAGGAGATAAAAGTACCGCTTCCCAAGTATCACTGATTCTTGGGTGGTACCAACGATTCAGCCACTGTTCCCATTGTGTCATTTCTAGAGTCAAAAGAGAAAGGGAGAAACAGTCACCATGACCAGCTTACGGCTATAAATGGGCCGCTGTTGTGTATCTTGAGTGCTAACTAGAGAAATAACTAGAGAAATAAAAGAGTAGAGAGAACAGAATTAGGCAATTCTTGAAGCCTCCCCCCATCAGGTTTGTGCCTAGTATCATGCAATATATTTCTCCATGAGAAAATAGCAAAATTCACGAGTGGTAGCTTGAAAAAAATAGTAATAATGTCGCATTCACCCCCAAAAAGGAGACAACCTAGACAGGCCTACGTAAACGGCGTATATTTTCAGTATTTATGCTCCTGCGCAGTACTCTCAGTGATGGATTAGTCTATAGCATTTTGGACGTCTCTTAGACGACACAAGCTGTTGGGGAAAAGAGGTCCTAGCACTGTCAATGAAGCCTGTACAGTTACGGGGACTGCTATCTTAGTACCAGGTTAAATTGCCGTTTGAAACACTCTGCATGTGCTCGGTAAATAGGACATCAAGAGAGGCATTGGAAACACACAGATAAATTTGGCGTGACATGCAAAGATCGGACCCTTAACCGTCCTCCGTACATCAGGTAGTCCCGTCGTCAAAAGCCGATCCTGAAGCCCCAAAATTATCCCAATGGCATGGCCTTTTCGGTATTGGTGACCGCTGCCTCGGAAAATGTGGACGCCCACATCCCACCCCATTATCGTGTGGGGCTTTGGCGCCTCGGCGTCACCTACCACTGACGCCCTCGGTACGCTAGCGGAGGGAGCGCCACAGAGTGTCTTCCGCTAGTACTCCGTATAGAGAGAGCAACCATGTTACTGAGGCCGACACCTCGGTTCACTGGGGGCTCCTGGAACCATAACGAAAGCGCAGAAAGCATACTAAATGCCATGATTCTCCTCATTCTTGTCCTGCGTCAAAGATCAGCTCAGGGTCTCGAAATTTCGAGGCACTCGTTTCAACATGACAACCTCTGCTGTAGCAAACGAGCCGCTGGCTTATCGGTATCCAGAAGGAAGCGCGCCACGAGAGTCACCGTCCGTCAAACAACCATTAGTTTTGCCTCCGGGCGCAGACAATGACAAGTTCCAGAGATTTATTGAGGAGATTGCCAGTGTCACAGGCAGCGAGAACGTGACGGTGATTTCCGATGAGGCAGAGCTCTACCATGACAACTACCTCGACCCGGGTAAAGCCCATGATATGTTCCACATTGTCCACAAGACCAGACTCGTAAGCTCTGCGATCATCGCACCGAGAAATGTCCCCGATGTCCAGTCAATTATGAAGATTTGCAACATGTTCGAGATTCCAGTATGGCCCTTTTCCATTGGCCGCAATGTTGGCTATGGGGGTGCTGCCCCGAGAGTTCCAGGAAGTGTAGGTCTCGACATGGGCCGGCATATGAACAAAGTTCTCGAAGTCAATGTGGAGGGAGCATACGCTCTCCTTGAGCCAGGAGTGACATTCTCCGCTCTACACGAATACCTGGTGACCAACAATCTCCGGGATAGACTGTGGGTCGACGTTCCAGATCTTGGCGGTGGCTCTATCATTGGAAATACCATCGAGAGAGGAGTCGGATACACACCCTATGGTGACCATTGGATGATGCATTGCGGGATGGAGGTGGTTCTTCCCGACGGGACTTTGATTCGAACCGGGATGGGCTCTTTGCCCTCTCCAGACGAGGATTCATCTCTACCACCACATGAACAACCGCCAAATAAGTGCTGGCAGCTTTTCAACTACGGCTTCGGACCTTATAATGATGGAATCTTCTCTCAGTCGTCCCTTGGTAAGCTGCCTTTTGTAAAGTTGAAAAGGAAATCTGCTGATTCTGTAAGGAATTATTGTCAAGATGGGGATGTGGCTAATGGTCAATCCTGGAGGCTACCAATCTTATTTAATCACCATTCCACGCGACGAAGACTTACACCAGGCTATTGAGACGATTCGCCCGCTCCGTGTAGGCATGGTCCTCCAGAATGTTCCTACGTTACGACATATTCTGCTGGATGCTGCAGTGATGGTAATTTTAACTCTGTCTTGAAACTGAGTAAGCCTAACAATATCTAGGGAGACCGCAAAAGCTACACCAACGAGGACCGCCCATTAAACGACGCGGAACTAGACGCGATCGCAGCTTCTCTTGGTCTTGGGCGCTGGAACTTTTACGGCGCGCTATATGGACCAGAGCCGGTCCGAGCGGCTATGTGGCAAGTCATAAAAGCCTCTTTCTCCTCAATCAAGGGAGTTAAGTTTTTCTTTCCGGAGGAGATGCCTGATAATGTTGTGCTACAAACTCGCCATCTAACGCTCCAAGGAATTCCTACCATGACTGAGCTAAAATGGGTCGATTGGCTACCCAATGGCGCGCATCTTTTCTTCAGCCCCATTGCAAAGGTGACAGGTGAGGATGCTGTGGCACAATACGAAATAACACGCCGTCGAAGCGAGGAATTTGGATTCGACTTTATCGGGACTTTTATCGTCGGGATGAGAGAGATGCATCATATTGTGTGTATAGTCTTCGATAAAAAGGATCCCGATAGTCGACAACGAGCCCATCGACTGATCAAAATCCTGATTGACGATGCCGCTGCACGAGGCTGGGGCGAGTATCGGACTCATCTTGCGCTGATGGACCAGATCGCAAGCACATACAATTTCAACAACAACTCGATGATGAGGCTCAACGAAGCAATCAAGAATGCATTGGATCCCAAAGGTATCCTGGCTCCGGGAAAGAATGGTATCTGGCCGAAGAACTATGATCCTAGTATGTACAAAATTGAGATATAACTTGGCAGCTAGAACGAGATGGTTCTGGGTCAAGGCTCCCTAAGCAGGTCGTTAGTGTCAAATGAAGAGAAAATGAAGGAGTTACCCATAGGACATGTCATCAAGGTGCATCTGCCGATCAAAACTTGGGTTCACGCGTACATCTCTTCCACTAATGTGAAGCGTTGGTTGTACAAGCCTGCAGGCACACGGAAACAGTCCTGTAATTAGTGATAGGTGATCCAAGATTACACAGCTCAGGCCACGCCGGCAGAGTCTTTCCCACTGCTTTCCAGTTGAGCTTTTTATTTCGGCAAATCTGGGCAACCGAGCAACCTCATGCCGCGGGCGTTGCACGTTGGTGATATTGCGCCAGTAGTACATTGGGTGAACAACCTCGGCACCTAGACATGCTCTCCATGAAATAGAAGTCCGGGTTCGACGACCGGACAACGAGTCGGTGCACGTTGAGCGCCACGACCTTGGTCAGAGGATTGTGCGTACAAACCTGGCGTTGACCCCTCCAAAGCGCAACGAACCAATCAAGCCGTGACTCGTCGGTGACTACTCGAAAGTACTTTAGTTCGTAGTATGTTCATAAACCTCAGGAGAGGTAGGAGGAGCAAGTAGCTCAACTGTTTTGCACAATGAAGGACGATCAATTCTACCAGTTCTATAATTGCATAGAAGGGGGACTGCACTCCGGATCTCAACAGGGGCGAGCAGTAGACCCTTCAACAACAAAGGAACTCTGGGACGTCCCGTTAGCAACGCCTGATGACCTGGAAAAAGCAGTCAAGTCAGCAACAAACGCGTTCCCTTCCTGGTCCTCAACCAAATGGGAAGAGCGAGCCAGCCTTCTACGCAAAGCTTACGATGTACTTGCATCGAAACGAGAACAGATGGCTATCCTATTGAAGCTGGAGACGGGGAAACCTGTGAGAAATTAGCCTTGCTAAAGGATATCTAGAACTGACAGCACTATAGCTTCGATTTGCGAGATTGGAAGTAGAACACTCATTGGGATGGTTGAACTATCACGGTACGGTTCGCCTGACATCCTCGCCACTTCCTTGCAGCCGAACCCTCACACACATAACACCAGCGAACCTCGGTCCAATTAGCCCGAGAATCCTCCAAGACGACGAAGAATTTCAGCTTGCGATTCACAGAGTCCCAGTTGGTGTCGTCGCCGCTATATGCCCCTGGAACTATCCTCTTGTCCTCGCCATGGGCAAAATATGCGCGTCATTGAGCACTGGCAACTGTGTGATTGTCAAGCCATCGCCCTTCACCCCATACAGTGTGGTCAAGTTCGTTGAATTGGTCCAAGGCCTGTTTCCTCCAGGAGTCATTCAAGCCCTGAATGGTGACGATCGCTTAGGTCCTTGGATGTGCCAACACACCGGAATTCAAAAGATTAGCTTCACAGGGTCCATCAAGACCGGGAAGGCCATCATGGCTGCCGCTGCACCTACGTTGAAAAGACTGACACTGGAGCTAGGAGGCAATGGAGCCTCGATTATTTGTCCGGACGTCGATATATCCAAGACTGCTGTTCAAGTTGCGATCGGATCATTCACCAACTCAGGACAGTACTGTCTCGCGAGCAAGCGGCTATATGTTCACGAGTCCATTTATGACACATTTTTGAAGGACTTCGTCAACGAGGTCAAGTCTTGGAATACTGATGAAAAGGAGAACGGCGACAGCATGTCACTGGGCCCTGTACAGAACGCAATGCAGTACGAAATCGTGAGAGGCTTCATTAGGGACTGTCGGGACAAAGGATACCATTTTGCTCTAGGCGGTGACACTGGCACGCAGTCCAGTTTCATGCTGAAACCGACGGTGGTGGACAACCCTCCCGACGACTCGGCCATTGTCAAGGAAGAACCATTTGGTGCATCCTCGCTGGCCTCGACCCTTTTTGTCACTAAGCTAACTTGATGCAGGACCAATTGTACCTGTGATGAAATGGAAGACCGAAGAAGAAGTGATTAGGAGGGTCAATAATACTAACACAGGACTGGGAGGCGCAGTGTGGTCTTCTGACGTGCGCAAGGCGTTCACTTTGGCAGAGCGGGTGCAGGCGGGTGCAGTCTGGATCAACGGCTTTGAAAGACCTCTGCCGCATGCTCACCTCGCTGGACATAAGGAGAGTGGGCTTGGAGGCGAATGGGGTGAAGAGGGTTTGTTTTCCTACACAGAGCCAAAAACATTTCACTGGTACAAGAAATAGACTCCAATATTGTCGATGTAAAAGAACGGACAAGAAAAGGATCGTTTAACTACATCTGCCGGGCACTTTCGTTCCTGGTATCCATAGAATCGCGATCTCTATGGAATAATCTGGAGCCTAGGATCTAATTACGGAGGGACATTAGACAGCTCGCCAATCAAGTACGACTACTCTATACACGGCGGCCATGATCATTCTCATTATTCCCTTATCCCATTCCGGATGTCGCAAGTCCGCGGCGGTGCCCACCTGGAAGGAGATGGCTGGCTCCGCGGAGCACCCACATCTGACCGAGGGAGAACCAAGTTCCATCTATAGCCTTTCCGGGTGCGGGGTCCGGGGCTTGGGGAATAGCGGCGGCGCCTTTCTGGGGCATGTTCATGATCCTCCTAATTTGGCGTTGAATGCAGCCCACAGAGGCTTTCAAGGACCGAATTGTACATAAATGTGAGGCAATATTGAAAGACATCTCTTTTCTTGCAGACTTGATGTTGCATTCAGCAGACATGAGCTTCTTCCTAGACGTCATTGTGAACCGGAATGCCACCCATTCTGAGGCATCTGGCAGAACTGGTCAACTACCCTCGTCGCTCATTGCTTCCCTTCTAGCTAACGCAGATTGGAAATTCCTAGGTGTATTGTTCGTTGTTGTATACGTCGTCCAGGCCATATACTATTGTTGGTTCCATCAACTATGTCAAGTTCCGGGGCCATTCCTGGCACGTTTCAGTCAGGCCTGGAGAAATATTCGCTATTTCAAAGGTACCTGGTTACGGGATGTGACTGAACTCCACGAGAAATATGGAAATGTCGTCAGGATTGCGCCGAATGAAGTCAGTTTCGTTGATCGAGATGCTCTTCGCGCACTCTATGGTCACGGTAAAGTGTCCCAGAAGGTTAGTGCTTCAATTCTTTGTTGGAATTTTTTTTTTTTGGCGGATTCAAGGTTCGCTTTTCCGCAAACGTGCTAACAATCTCACAGACAAATTGGTATCACTCCTGGTACGCCTTTCCTTGTATTTTTCAAAACATCTTTACATACCAGCATCTTCAGCAGCACTCCAAGTTGATTAACAGGCTTCTCTATTGTAGGTACGTGCCGAATATGCAGATCTCGTTCTTTGCTGCCACGGATATCAAACTCCATCGGCATCTTCGAAGCCGTGTCACGGCTGCTTACTCCATGTCCTCCATGTTGTCCATGGAAAGCCTGATCCAAGATGTGGCCAACCAAGGTTGGGCAAAGTTCAGAGAGCTCGTGGCTAGGGGTCAGCCTATTGAACTCGATAAATGGGTGAGCTACTTCACTTTTGATGTTGTCGGTACACTCGCACTGGGCGGGCCTCTCGGCATGATTCAGCAAGAGAAGGACGTCGATGGCATCATTGGCAGTATACATGATGGATTCTGGCTGATGGCCAACATGGGGAACATGCCCCTCCAGATGTTCTGGTTCAACAATCCAGTCGCTCAATGGCTCGTCAAGAAAGTGGGTGGGAAAAGATTGAATGCTTTCAGCGTATTTCTCGACTGGCTTGAAATCAGGGTGGATAGCCGCATGAAGAACGGTTTAGGAGGCCAACGCCGAGACTTGCTCCAGCACTTCATTGAGGCAAAGGATCAATCCGGGAACCCGGTCAAGAAAGGAGATGTCATGATCGAAGGCGTCAATATCTTGGGAGCCGGAGCCGACACCACTACCGTAGCGATTCTAGCCGTACTTGGTGCGGTGCTTCAAAATCCGAGTCACAAGCAGCGTCTCATGGCAGAAATCGACCAGGCATACAAAGACCTAGGTCTCACAGACAAAGAGGAGATCAGCTTCAAAGATTGCGAGAACCTACCCTTTTTGTCCGCCGTCGTCAAAGAAAGCATGCGGCTACATCCTTCGATTACATATCAGCTTCCTCGAATGCTCCCTGCAGAGGGTTTGCAAGTTGGAAAGTATCATTTTAATCAGAATGTAATCTGCGGGATTAGTGCAGCTTCGATGAACAGATCGGTGGATATTTTTGGCCCTAACGCGAGTCGGTGGGTACCCGAGCGATGGATTGCCGAATCAGAGGCCGACAAGGGTCGCATCGGTGGTATGAATCGGGACTTGACCACGGTAAGCCGCGCCCTCCCTGCCCAATCACAGTCCCTGGCCATCCTTTATGGCTGACTAGCTGCGCTTCCAGTTTGGAATGGGAAGTCGGAGTTGCATCGGTCGCAATCTAGCACTCATCGAAGTGCACAAATACATTGCACAATTTTTCCGCCACTTCGATGCAGAGATTGTCAACAAGGACCACCCATGGGTGACGAAATCACAGGTGAGTGGTTCCACGGAATTTGTCCGTCAACTGGGAGGATTGGCGTTGACGATGATCGATCTAGTGGTTTGCAATTCAGAGGAAATTCTGGGTAGTCCTCAAAGAACGACAACATTGAAAAACGCCTCTAGGTCTGGAGTCTTGGGAGATGATTCTTCTCGAGCACCTCTACGACTAGATAGAGAGAGGAGAAGAGAGTTTATACCAAGAAATATGAGGGATCAAGAGAGTAGGCTGATATTACAGAGTTCCGAAAACGCACAAGGCCGAGCGGCAAGGCTGAGATTTGTTACCTCTCTATGCAAATCGACAGCGAGGTTAGTTTTCGCAGAATTAAAAACGCCACCGAATGAGGAACACTGTTATATACGATCTTAGGGAGTCTGCCATGTAAATAATATGCCAGGTGTTGTCAATTCGACTTGATATTCTTGACTCTCTCTCTCTCTCTCTCTCAGCAACAACTGGTGAGATTAGAGAGACTTATATAGCCATCAATAGTGCAAGAATAAGAGTACAGAAGGGTTGTTAAAATGAGCGAATTTAGTTAAGCTTAAGACTGCACAAGGCTGACACTTGTATAGACATTCCTAAATATATCCCCCTACGTACCGACCATTTACTCCCGTTGATGTGACTGCCACCTAATCATATTAGTACTTCGCATCTCTGTAGTATCTTCAGCATGCTTCTCTACTGCTGTTCAAGAGCAGGAGTCGATGTCTGAAAGTACCGTCTGGTTGCCATTTACTATTATTCTGTATGGAGGTCTCGTGCTACCTTTATCTATGGATTCATTTAGACACTATGAAACCCTATTCTAAGACTGAATATCGTGCGGACTGAATTCTGATGCCAAGGGGGTGACTGGCCGTCATGATTGACGTCGGCAAGTCAGTAGCGTACTTGGTACTCATTTGAAGTTGGTGGGGGCGGGGTTGGAAAGGAGGGGAAAGGTTAGTTTAGTGAGTGCCTAGACATTCTTGTGGATGTATATGAAGTGCCGCGGGGCTCTCCACAGACTTGAACTCTGACCGCCATCTTTTGCGTTCTGTTGTCGAGCCTATCGCTTCCCATGACATTTTGACCTGGTGATGGATTTTCCATCTTCTCGCTTCAATTGCACCTTGTGTGGCAGGACTTATTCTACACAGCACCATTTGCAGCGGCATGTTGATGCGGCTCGTCAGTTTTCCCTCCGCTTTCCCATTGTGCCTACCGCTTCGTGTTGGCGTGAAGCATTCCCGTAAACCCAACCGAGAACCCACAGAAAGCATTTGCTGACTTGCGGAAAACGTAGATGCTACCTCTAAGCCATTGCGGTGTAAATACTGCTCCGGAAACTACAGTCGAATGTGAGTGTTGCTACTCTAGCACGCCCTTATTTGTTAGCATATGCCAACACTGGCGCGAGCAGGGACGTTCTGAAGCGCCACCTTCGCACCTGCAAAGACAAGCCCAAGGAGCTTCTCGATGATCTAGAGACTGCGCTTCCGTCCAAAGGGACTGTGCCCACCGCTTGTGACCGATGTTACGGCCAAAAGCGAGCTTGTAGTCGTGGCATGCCGTGTTGCAATTGTCGTTCGAAGAATGAGCCTTGCGTCTACTCTCGAGGTCTGGCACGGAAGGCGGCTGGCACTAACGCATCAGAGAATCCAGCTGCCGCAGGTCTTGAAGCCCCCTTCGAGGGTAATCGTCATTTCTCGCCTTCCCCCAGATGTTCGGTGTCCGAAGCCAACGATGACTCCTCCTCAGACATGGAAGCCGATGAACCTACAGAACTCTACCAACCAAACCTGTTTCTTTCCCCTAATCTCCATTATCCACACCATAACATTACCCGACCGACATTCCACACAATCCACGATTCTACAACGACTTGGCCATGGGGCGACAAATACCAGAAGCATTTAATAACCTTCCAATTCCTGGCCAACTTTACCAGCACCACTGGCTTGGCCAACTCTTTTGATTGCTGCTCAGTTGAAGAGAGGTTAGAGCTCCTCAAGAGCTATGACAAGCCGAACTCGCAAATCCATGGCGTTGTTAGAGAAGCCTCGCCCCCAGCCAAACCGAGACCTACAAACCAACCTCCCCCAACGAATTCATTGGCCTTTCAGAGAAATCACATCTGGGGCTATGTTCTGGATCAGCAAACACCGCCTGCAAGCGAAGAGCCCATGCTTCCAATGGCCGATATTCAAGTTCAGTACACTCAGGATTGGATGATGCTCAAACCTCCAACGAAATCGCCGGCTGAGAACATCAACAAGCCGGGATCTTCGGGGCGTTCGACACGTGCGGGGGGGGAGATCGACTCGGAACAAGCAGCCTTCGAGATTCAGCTTTTGACTTCTACTGGCCTTCGGATCGTTTCAAGAATCAAAGAGGTCGTAATGGTGAAGCCAAGGAACAGTATTGTCAACTTGAACTGGGCATCTCACGTGGAAGATGCCTGTTTGGAGTTTTTCTCCTCGACAAACATCTCCAGGTTTCTCAACTTATTCTGGGCGGGATGGTATCCCAACTGGCCGGTCATACACAAACCCACGTTTACTCTACCGACTACGATGGACATACTAATCGCCGCGATGGTGGTCATCGGTAAACCTTATTTCATAAATATGACACACCCACACTAAATTTCTCACAGGTGCCTGCTTGTCTCCTGATCAATCTGAGGTGGATCATGCCAGAGTATGGTTCAATGCGATTGAGGAAATAGTCTTCACTGATGCAGCGTTCTACACCAACATATCGGGCGACGAGCCGAGAAATCGCGATCCCTCTGGGCCTAGAGACAGGAAGATGACGCAAGTGTTGCAAGCAGCTTACGCAGTATGCCTCTATCAGAATTGGGAAGGCAACGACCTAGCCAAGAAGCGCATCCGAAGATACCGTTATAGCATAGTGGTTGCGGTTGGTCCTCCAACGCTTCTTGAGACCTTCCACCCTATTGACAAATTGACCAGTTGGCAAGAGATATGGACATCGCGTCCTCTAAGCATCCCTACCTGGACTTCTCGGACCCCGAAGGTTTCGACTGGCATAGTTTTATATCGCGGGAGGAGCGCATCCGGTACATTGACACCGCATTGGTACATGGTCACGCGGACAGACTCGAAGCTGACGATTATTTTCAGAACGCTCATCTACGTGTTTTTGCTGGACTCTGGCTTCGTGATGTTCAACAACCTGCCACCTCGGATGGCAGCCGCGGAGATGAGACTGAACTTGGCCTGCCCTGAGGGGTGCTTCCAAGCCGACAGTGCCGGGGACTGCTTTCTCCGACTGAGGCAGTGGTATTCTTCAGCCAATACTACTGCAACCATGTCGCTGAGCGCAGCACTCGAGACACTATGCCAGAAGGAGCTCGATGACAGGGTTTGCAAGTGGTTTTCAACGGTTGGCATTTTGAACATGTTCACGATGGCATCAGGTGAGAATCTCGATGGTCGACGACGTCCTGGGTCGTTATATTTTCGTGCTGACGACTTCTCAGCCCTCCATTCGCTGTTGTTTCAACAGACTCAGACATCATTTGGCTATGAACCACAGCTCACGCCGATCCGGAATGCTTTATCAAACTGGATACGCATCTGGCACATGATGTCGCCGACAGCTTTGGCGTTGAGTGGAAATTCTTCTTCTGTTTACGACCTCTGGAAAAGAACCGGATTCATGAGACACGCCGCCGAGTTCCACCTGCTCGCAAAAATAATCGTGAAGCACGTCGAGATGTGTCAGCGTGACCGCGCGACCGCGCAGAGTAATTCGTTCATGCTTACTTCTGCGGCACAGCCTTTTGGTTTCGAGAAGTATGATGAGACTAGTATGCAGCAGGTCAACGATCTTATCGTCTCCTTCAATAGCTTCAACATATAGTCTGGCGTTCACCAGCGCACAATTGATATATCAAGTAGCATCATTGCCACTCAGGTCGACAACGATTTTCTCGGTAGCCTCGCCCAGTTGAACTTCTTCTACTGCGGAATTCCAGTCTCGCAGAGGTTTTACACGAATTCGACGTCTGACAAGTCCCTGTTCAAAAAGTGCTATTGCGTCTTGTACATCCTTCCTTGCGCCCACGAGTGACCCGATGATCCGAAATCCATTGTCAATGAGTGTTGTGGGGCAAAAGCGAATCGGCTGCGTCGGAGGAAGCACGATTACTCATACCTTATGCCCCTCTCACTTAGTTCTATACCTTGTATACGGATTCATTACTAAGTAAACCTAACCTTATTAGGTAACGTGGTAGCGGCTCTAATAACGAAGATATTAGGTCGGTAGCGAAGGGGTTTCACGACTTAGGGGGAACTCTCTTATTACCAGTATACTCTTAGTGTAACAAGACAAAGTGGCTGTGCTGGGCTGATAGAGGGGTAGCAAGGAGGAGGTTTGGCTGGTCACATGTCAAACCAAAATGGAGTAGAAGGGCAGGACAGTTTACAGTGTGCTGGGAAGGTGCCATTATTTACAGTTTGAATAGGGTATCATGAATTCTATGGCTTTTTAGAGCCGTCTGCCTATTTCCTGAGTGTTTTCTCGGTCTTGTCTCAGCTCCTCAATGACGCCGCCATGCTAAGCGTTCGTTGCCTTAGCCGCTGCCTCTCTGGGTGGTGTTGATGGTGTTGTTGTTCCGTCAGCGCTAACCAGAAAAGCGTTCTCGATTCCCGATCTGCTGGATAGGCATCTGTGCGTTGTTGCACGTATATGCCGAACTGTTGTACACAGAATGAGAGTGGATTTATTTGCTTGATTGTGTTCTGTCCCCCTGGCTATTCCGAGAGACTCTGTCTGTTTATATACACTTTGGCCTGTAACCTGAAGGACATTCCTGAAATCTCCTATTCCGTCGCCATCCTATCACAGATCAGCGAGAACAAGGGTGTTGAGGTAAGTGGCGAAGTTGGTGAAGCGCCTAGCGTCTCAGGTGTTTTGCCACACAGTGGCTATCTCGAGACCCTGTCAACACGAACCCTGAAGTGCTCTATTACAACATTAAGTTTCATAACTTTATGACGACGAAATAGGAGGTTTTAGGAAAGGTCTTTAGATCATAGGCTAAATTGTATATAAATAGGTAGAGTCTCTCTAAGTCGGTAGGGGAATAAGACATATTTAGGTAGAACCACTTCTGTGTACAACACTTGGACTAGTCTTGTTAGGTTAGGTCGATGAGCGCCTTCTCGAGGTTTATAACTAAGACAACCTGTAGCTCAATAAATCGTGGGACATGACATTGAGACTCTCTATAGCTTCGCCCGGCTACCTGAGGTCTTGGGCTTCAGGCAGGGTCAAACTGAAGAAGAGGGCTATATATCCGCGCAAGAGCTCTTCTCTGACCTACCCAGAGCAGATAAGAGCGGAGAAGAATTGAGACAGTGATTAACTTACAAGACCGTCGGTCCAATCCCCTGGGTATACACTTAGGCCAACGGTATGAAGGTTCTAATGCTGTGATATACGACGATACACCGTTTCCAGCCCACCAGCGAGATCCAGTGCTGTACTATGAGCCAACAACCCATCCAGGGACTTATTTACCACACGCGTGGGTGGAGCTGAGAACCCGTCGAATATTGACATTGGACTTTTTGGACCATGATTGCTTAGGTCTCATCGTCGGCATTGGTGGGGAGCCTTTCGTGACTGCCGCAGAGGAGGTCAACCGGGAGTTTGATGTAAAGCTCTCTGTTTATAAGGTTGAGTGCCGTTGACCATACGACAACGTGCTGGGAGAATGGACTGCTATCAGAGAGATCAGCGATTGGGGCGCGTTGTTGGTCCGACCTGATCGCCATATAGCGTGGCGCTGTGTTAGTCGTCCTGTAGATGTCGTGGATGCCTTGCAATCGGCGCTGAAACAAATTTTCGCTCATGGCAACGAAAGGAGACGGGTTTGAGATGCTTGCAGCCTGGTTCAGTGAAGTCAGTGCTAGCGCTGAATCTTTTACCTTGAAATATCCTCACGACCTGCTGGGCCGTTAACGTGTTTCTGCTACTGCTGAACGGAGCACAAAAGGTCAAATATTTGACACCTATAAAATCCACTCGCCGCACCGAACGTCTTAAGCTTGACCTGGATATCTCTAAATACGAGAAAGGGACCTGCGTAAACGCTCTTTCTGCACTCCGGACCCAGGGGTGATATGTGTTAAAATCGCATCTTTGTCTTCTGGAATCGCTATTCTCGGTCTGGCTTACTTTACCTCATCTATTAATCTGTCAGCCATTCGTTTCGACTCGATCCAGACGCAGGTTATAAGCGTAACTCCTTATGCCGCGGCAGTGGCTCTTAAATTGTTGTCTGCTGATATGCCGCCCAACATCAGGATGCATTCCCACGCTGGAAATCTATTTGCTGCTTTGGTTGGGTCGACCGTGTTCTACGTCGGACCAAAGTTTGCTGTTGGGTACACTGGGCGGTTTCTTTCTGCTTGGCGTCCTGTACCGCAACGTGCCCTCGCAAATTGCTTGGATTGTGAACAACATTGCTAGACACACGCCCCGGCCCGATGCAAATGCAGTGGAAGCCGGGGTGGTTGATGTTGGTGCCATTGTAAGTAATTGGATCTTCCCGTCGAGCGATACACCAAACTATCTCTTTACCGCCACTTATCTGCTGGCGATGGATGACATTGCACTTGTGGTTTACATGGGAGCCGATACGGTTGTTCAGTCTGGCAAATGTCAAGAAGAGCACATCTGAGTGCAGACAGAAGTTGCTGCCTGACATGATGAACGAAAACTTTGCGCAGCAACTGGAGAAGCCAGGCGATACGCCTCCAGGTCACAAGTATGTCTTGTGATCCCGCCGTGACTATTCATCGAAGCACAGCCAAGGAGAAATGGCTTCTGCACCATGAAAAGTGTTATAGAGCAGATAGAAGGACGAGTCAAGAGATGTTGGATGAGAGTCATGTATACGCATACAGTCATGGGGCTGCTGGTTTTGGCACTGTCATTGTATTCGATCTCTCCCTCGGTCGAGCAACGTATGAAAGGTCCGGGCACAATACATGCCGGGCTAAGTACTTCTTCCAACCCTCAAGAACCCTTCTGTCAAAGAGATTATGTTTTCTTCGCTGGAGGAGATTTTCAGGTTTCACTTCAGAGACTATGGTTGCGGAACAACCTTCCCTTCACAGCAGCCGAAATCGACAACATGGCTTCCGTTGCTGCCAGTGTTCCCGACCCTGAACTTGATGACATCTCCATCCTCCAACCATGCCCGACTAATCTTTCTCTTATGTATATCCAGCGTACTTTCTTCCAGTGGTTGTGAACCATTACAAGTGGCTTCCAGGAGGCATCCAAGTTCAGATGGGGTAGAACCTGATAATGTACCAGTCCCAATGAGATCTCCTGATTTTAAAGGGTATCCGCCGACAGTATGATGGGCAATCATTTGGGCGAACGAAAAAGGATATTTTTTGTGTTACCTTGAACGAGATGATACTCTTGGGAATCCCCTGTGACTGTTAGTAATTGATAGGCCGGCTGCTTCTCTACTCACATTCAAGAAAGACATCGATAGGGATGTCATAAACAGTGTCCTTGCGAGCTTCCTGCAGATAGGGTAACAGCGAGGTATGCTTGTCAAACATGAGCGTCGCACCATCCACAGGAGAGGAGTGCTTACCGATGGCACGGGTTTCGTCCGAAGTAGTTCCGGTGCGTCTAATAGGACGACCCATGGAGATATGGTGGTACAGAAGTTCTTGCCGTTGAACGGTCCCAGTGGCGTCGCTTCGGTGCTTTGAATATCTCTTGCCGACCAATCGTTCATAAGCACAACGCCAAAAGATATGCTCTTCCGCCTCGACTACCGGAATGGCAATACCATGTTCGATCCCTTTCCCAATGAAAGCAGCAAACTCAACTTCGAAGTCCAATTTTTGGCTGGCCCGGAATGCTGTCGCCTCTTTCACGAGAAATTGGCCACGCGGTCGACGAACAGGAGTGCCTGATACCACGACCGAGGAACTGCGCCCATGATAGCCAAGAGGCATATTATACATACTCTCAGGTGGCTGAGTTCCAGGCCTGAAAATGTCGGTGCACTATAACTTGGTGCGATTAGTGAGTGCTTTCTCGAACCAAGGACGGGGCCGCAGTGCACCGACATTTTGAGCATGGTAAGGGCAGGTAAAAAGTCTGTATAGTCACCAATGTCAAAGGGGAGATGCATCTCGGCTTTCTGCCTTGGGACAAGGGCTTCTTCCTTCAGGGCGGCATCATCGCGCAAAAAATGCCCAAGCGAGGTATCTGCCCGGAGGATGCTCTGCAAGGAAGCCCGCACTTTGCGGTGCACTCCCTGGCCCAGAGCGGCGTATCTGTTCAATGTCTGCTCCTCAAGCGTAGTTTTATCGATGTCAAGGGCAGCAAAAGTCCCTTTCTCGGCCAGAACTTTTCAAATCGAGAATATACCGTCCGATGGCGACACCAATGCGTCGGTCCCTCTCTGGAGCGCTAAATATACCATAAGGGAGGTTTTGCACTAAAAAGCGGGACTGGTGATGATCCTCTACCCAGGTGTCCATCGTCGACATACTTTCCAAGAGGATCCAACACGCAGCGGCAATCCAACTGCAGAGAACAAACTCCGGCGTGCGATGCGACTATCTAGATCAAAATACAAGCCCAACGCCAATGTGTCGTACACGCGTATATGTAAGGCAGTCTCGCGCCTGTGAACCCGACCTGTGTTGGATGCTGCAATCAGGCTGTTCTAAGCACTACGGCGCGAATTTTCCGGCTCCAGTATTGTGGCAGTTGCATCGACTCGGTAAATTGCGAAAATTGCGGCAATTTCCCGACGATTCCGTGTAACTAAGAGCAATTATTGTCAGAGGCACTGGGTGGAAACTAAACAATCCATATGTCCATGCACGGTGATATTGGTGGTGCTAAGGCCAAATGGCGTCTTCAGTTGACACTGGACTGTCACCCACTGCGAGTTTACACAGCAGAACGCTGAAGCCATAGCACCATCTGCCCGGGAGGGCTCCTAACGTGATGGGTCGACAGGTCCAGTGACTTCCCACGCTGTCAGCTATGCTTCCGTACGAATAATTCATATCCGATACCCTAGCAGTACGGCTGCAACGAAGGTGCAGCAAGGACTCGAGCAAAATGGCTCTGGATCCGTGACTGGAATGCGAATACGCAAAGACAACATCCAGAGGAGCAGAATCCCTCAAGATCGCTCTACGCTCCAGACAACTCCTACGGAAGAGTAGAGTTCCGAGGGCGAGAGCGACTGGTAACGTCCAGCTTCATATTCTTCTGAGCACATGTGCTTGGGGAGCGATGTAAGTTGTCAACCCTAGACCATGGCCAGGGCCGTTTACATTGCTAGGATATATGGAGAAGATGAGAATGAAGTAATCTTCTCGGGACAGGAATTTGTTTGGGAATGGCCCTACCGGGAAGCTTGCCTTGAATGAGGTTCGACACCCTACATGAGCACAAAATTTGAACCTTTGCTTTACTCTGCTTGTTCTGATATTGCAAAGACTCTGGAGAAATCTTATATCACCAAAGGTGTCAATGCACATCACAAAAGGAAGATTTGTTATGTAGCTGATTCTGTCGTTGGCTCGGACGTTCAGGGGATGCCATACAAACACCCCATTTCTTCGATCTTGCAAGCGAAAGGATAGCACCGCTCACGAGGCAGAAATACCCTGTCGACGCTTCCGGGCATGTTATCTGATCAATTGGCACAATAAGGACTCAAGGTTCGCCACCAGCAACCTACAAAATATTTCGAATCTTACACTTCCATGGCAAGATGATGAGTTCAAAACACCGTCTCGCCAGAGCCTGCCAGTGGCCTCCGGCTCAGGCTCCAGCAATGGAAATATGTACAGCGAGAGAGTATGAGAGATGACACAGCATACATTGCTATGACCTTGGGTACTCTTACTATTCGTTGTTTACTTTCGAAGCTTATTGCAAGGTACAAGGTGATAGTGTTCAGTGGGAATAATCTAAGCGCCGTGCGACGTAAACAGTTTCCGGGCGTGACTGGAGCTAGGACGCAGGTGACAAGGGATAAAAGCAGCCTCAGATTCTTGCTAAGTCAGTTGGTTCCATGCACATCTACTCACACGGCCCTTCGCCAAGGCCTATCGACTTTTGGAAGAGTATATAAAAAGCGTGTTGGAACTAGCAAAATCTGTCTTGTCTAAGGGCTGCTTTTATATGTATGAGTACTAGCGCCTTGACTGTTATTCACAGACTGAGGCAGGTTCGGACGCGGTGAGAACTAAATATCGGGAACAGACCTGCACCTCTATCCCTTCCCAAATCTGGATCTCGCACCTCGGTGAGCACAATCCGATGTACTTACTACTGACAGGCACGATATGCACTCCACTCCCACGGGAGAACTGAATGTGTTGATGAAGCTGGGCCGGACGGGGCGGGATTTGGAGAGCGGCAAGAAGACAGTTAGAATTGTAGCGTGTGTGGGAGTTCGGAAGCCTGTCATTAGTCCGGTGTCCACGAGAGGTGCTTATTAGTTCATTCCCTACACGAGATGAGTCTGCTGCATATTGACCGGCAAGGCTTGGTTGAGATGGAGTCGGGCTGTAAGACTTTTTTTTCCCGCCCCCTATTTTGCAGTCTTGTTTTCCTGGCCGACGCTACACCACCATCTGGGGATCCGCCTTGACTTGCGGGAAAGGGAGGAAATTTGGCTTGATCGACGGGTCGATACAGCCGTGTGTCCTGTGGCGCCCTACCCCAGGTGCCCCCGGAGTATCACGTGGATCTCCGTTTCGCGGAGGGTCATCGTCCAACTTGTGGATTCCACACACTTGAGCGACATTTATAAACTGTTGTCACGCTGAATGTACAGAGCTTGGGCACGGCCCTCCTTGCAGTACGCAAATTATTGGCAAAAGCATCACATCTTGTGGCTCCTTTCGACCCACTCTGGAATCCTTCACTAAAGTCAGTATGTCTAGCACGTACTTCATCCGAGGAGCGACGGTGGTGTCCATCGACCCCGAGATCGGGACCGTTTCTAACTGCGATGTACTCATTCAGGGGGAAGACATCAAGGCCGTCGGTCCAAACCTCGAAGTTCCAAACGACGCTGTCATCATCGATGGTACCGATGCCATTGTATCGCCCGGTTTCGTCGACACCCATCGACACACTTGGCAGATCCAGTTACGTTGCGTCACTTGTGACTTCAGTCTGTTCGAGTATTTCCTTCACATCCGCAACAAGTTTGGATCATGCTACCTTCCGGAGGATGTCTATCTAGGAAACTACTGTGGCGCGCTTGAGTCGCTGGATAATGGTATCACCTGCCTCGTGGATCATTGCCACATTCTGAACTCCCCTGATCATTCAGATGCCGCCGTCCGCGGCTTGCAGGATGCTCAAATCAGAGGAGCGTTCTGCTACGGACTTTACAGAAATCCAAAGTACGCCTGGACACCCGACGGAGTGCTCACAGATGCGGCCGAGCCTGACTGGCGGCTGGACGATGCTAAACGGGTCCGAGAAAAGTTTTTCAGTCGAGAAAATGCAGCAACTGACCTTCTGCGTTTTGGTTTTGCTCCAGCGGAGATTGAGCGCTCCTCTTTGGAACAGAGCATCAAGGAAGTCGAGTACGGGCGATCACTGGGAGCGGCGGTGATCACAGCACATGCGTCAATGGGAAAGTACGACAAAGGTTATCACCTGGTTCGCAGACTACATGAGCGCAAACTCCTCAAGCCAGATCTGCTCCTGAGTCACTGTGCATCCCTCCATGATGACGAGCTGCAAGCGGTGCGGGAGACAGGCGTATCTTTGTCATCGACGCCGGATACAGAGCTGCAGATGGGGATGGGCCAGCCCGTGGCCTTCAAAGCGCACAAGCATGGCTGCATTTGCAGCATCGGCGTGGACATTGTATCGAATAACCCTGCCGACATGTTTCAGCAAATGCGCCTCATCTTGCAAGCCCAACGACACAAGGACAATGAAGCGGCCGACGGCTCGCCTCTCAAGGTGTCGCATACGTGCTTTGACGTGTTGACGCTGGCCACTCTAGGCGGCGCCGAAGCGATGGGCCTTAAAGAAGTAGTGGGGAGTGTCACTCCAGGAAAGAAGGCGGATCTATTGATCACTAAGTGTACGAGCACTAGGATGACGCCGGTAAATGACCCGGTAGCGGCGCTGGTGCTGTATGCCAATGCTAGCGACATTGACACGGTATTTGTCAATGGAAAGATTGTGAAGGAGAATGGCCAGCTCGCCGGAATCAAGTGGCCAGAGGTCCGAAAGAAGTTGGTGAAGTCAAGTAATGATATCATGGAGAGGGCCAGGGCTGCAGATATGGACGAAATCACCCATCGGGTTCTGAGCGTCTATAACCCGGTTGGAGGTTATAATGCTAAGAATGCCCATATCTAGTTCTCACAGGACATAGCTTGCTGGTACCGACTTATGGTAAAGAATGCAGCTTTTAGGTATAAGGGAAGCGGTCCAAGATCCCTACGCTACCCTGTCCAGCCAGCCGCTCGACGGACGCGCTGGGTAAAAAAGCGAGCCCGGCGCCTATCACGTACAGGGTCCGCTAGCCGCCCATGGGGCAGCCTACTTCCTAGGAGTGGTGGTCTGGGGCGACGTGCCCGCTAACATGCATGCCGGGGTCAGCCAGGTCGTGGTCTTAAGGCGGTCCCGCAATCTCCAGCTATCACGCTCTGGGTGTGGCTTCCCAAGCTCCCCCGCGTGAAGCTGCTTAAAACGCCATGCATTCTCGGGTCATGGCCACCACTTTTCTTCCGTGTTTCGACAGAAGACTATTTAACCATTGAATCCAAACGCAACTTCCCCCTCCTCTCCCAAAAATATAAAAATACCAAGCCCGCGTTGGAGAGGTGGGCGCTTCATCACTGGACCTTTCACCTTTCTAGTTCGCCTTATTGCTGTCTAGATGTCGCTCCTCGCTGGGGCTGGGCGACCCAGAACAGCCTGTCTTGAATGCAAGACACGAAAGGTAGAATATTTGTCCAAACATGTCGAAATCCAACAGTCGTTCACAATCGCTTAGCTCCGTTGCTCTAGCGAGGGCCCAAGCTGTGCTAGATGCCTCAGGCTGCGCCTCGAGTGCAGATATGTGACCAACAGTGCATCGCGACACGCACGGCACCGACGACAGACATCCGCGACCGACTCATGGGTGGACGCTCCTAGTAATCCCATGCCAAAGGAGCGAGCCAAGCTTTCTTCTGTACCTCCACCTTTAGCTCAGAGCAGTTATATAGGGGTTCCTCCCGCTTTGCTCCGCGACCTGGTCGAAACCTATTTCAGCCATGCTTACAACGCACCGCTTCTGTTGCAGAAGCAGACATTTCTAAGGGAGGTTTCAGAAGGCACGGTCAAGCCCTCTGTTGCACTCGCCGTATGTGCGTTTGCTTCCAAGTGAGACACCCCGTGGACATCCACCGTGCAAAGAAGCGTTATTGATTGCGGCGCAGCTTCCACCGTAACAGCAATGGAGATCTTCTCCTTAAGAGTAGCGGATTTGGTGTCGAGTGGGCAGAGCGTGCTGGGAAACTGGTCTTCGAGGTCATTGAGAGTCCGCAGGAAGACAACGTTATCACTTGCCTAATTCTTGCGCTTTTTTGGTACAGCCAGGGCTCATGGCAACGGTCTTATATCCTCAAAGGTATGTTGTTCTGCGAAGTCCTGTTCTACTGGTTTCCCTTCTCCATTGGCGTCGGATGAGTCCCTGCACCGCAATATTTACTACGGGCCCGGCCAGGAAATGCGATACAAACAGCCCACCTCCTGGGCATGGGGAGACAGCCAAGGCTTGATAGACGATCTCTTAGTTCAGAGTTACGTCGCCGGCGCTTCTGGGCATGCTACTTGATCGAGTGTCACACCTCGAACTCGACCCACGTCCTGGATGCCTCCGAGCAAATCTACAGCCTTCCCCTCCCGTGCACTGAAGAAGAGTTCGAAAACGGAATATCCGAACAAACGGACGTATTTCTTGCCTGCGAGCAAAGCACTGGTGGAATCTTCTGTGAAATGATAAGAGCCCTCTGGTTCTGGTAAGTTGGGACGAAGGCTATCGGGATTACGTGGCGCATTGGATTGACAGCGTTTCAGGGCCCAGGTTTACAGTTTGATCAAGACTCCTGAGCTCCAGGATGACGTAAGTATCCACGACATTGGTTTACTGGACACAAAAATATCAGAGTGGTGGTCTAGAATCCCAGACTGGATGAAGCTCAATCCTGGTGACCTCGCGCGGACGCCGCCGGCATGCCTACCACGACTCTTGCTCGTTCATGCTGTGTACCATCAGTGTCTCTGTGCCCTTCACTCTTCTATCGTTCCCTTGTTCTCTTGGGGTCACGATGGGAAGAGTTCTCTCCTTGCGCGGCAGATCTCGGCTCAAGTGGCCTACGAGCATGCCTCAGCTGCCTCAGAACTGTTCAGCACCATTTTCGATTATCTACCCGATCCGAATGCTGTGCCAAGCTTTGTCGCTTACAATGCTTATTGTGGTTGTGCTATCCAAGTACCCTTTATGAGTTCCCCAAATACGGCAGTAAGGGAACGCGCGATCCGCAATGTGGAGGCCAACAGAAGAGTTATTCACTTGGTGGCGCAATCCTGGAAATATGCCGATTTACTGGTAAGCCCACTCATATTCCACGACAGCGAGGAACAGAAACACTAAATTGTCCACAGGACCGTTACAGTTCTTACCTCCTGGCCGTGTTCGAAAAGCACCCTGTATCGCTGGCTGGAGAACCCAAACATTTGGAGTCAGGCACATTTCGTGAATTACGAGCACCAGCCCCAAGGGTAAGACTTTCAATATTGGCTCACAATCGGATGGTGTGCGAAGACGACTGTTGGAGTCTGCCAGGCGAGGAACCGAAGGATTTTGACATCGAACCCCGTCAGGAGGGTCAGTCTATGAGTCCTACGCGAGGAGAACCGCATGCTGGTAAGCCGAATGCTCTGTGTCGGATGGAGGAACCTCACCTCGGTTGAAGAACAAGGCATGCTTACATGTTACGCAGGTGCAATGGTGAACAGAAACTACGTCGCGGCAACTATTATGCCGGTTGAGCCTCAGCTGCACAATCCGACGGTTCAGTTTCAGCAGATGTTTGCAGGCTTCGATGATCAACTGCCAGATGCTTCAGGGTCGTTTCTCGGTGGTACCGATATTTTTGTCCCATGGAGCTCGAGCGACGAGGCGAACGCGGACTTGGCCCTGTTTGACATGGGTGTTCTCAATGGCACGTCGACAGATCTATTGTCGTACCCAGGCTAGATCCGCGCTAGCTGCACCCAGCCAGGCGTCTGCGAGGTTTCTATGAGACAACTTTGGCCGTGAGGTAACTCGTTCTTGTTATATATCTATCTGATAGATCTCCTGATCATTCATTCCCACTCGCGGGAATGTCACCCTTACCGTGCCCCAAATCCTCTCCCAAAACGTCGTCTCCAAGGTTGAGCGCCTGAGAATCCTGCAACACAAACACCATTCTTGCCCACTCAGTCTTGCTCGGGTTTTTCCACGCGTGCATTGTGCCCCTCTGCACCGCCACGTCGCCGCGTTTCATCAACTGCACCTCACCGGAGTCTAAAAGCATGTTGACTTCTCCCTCGACAACGACACCGTAATCGAGGGACTTGGTGCGGTGCATGATACCCTCGCTGCCCGGTGCGAAGTCGACCATACGGCACACGGTGCCGTGGGGTCGGACGAGGCCCAACTTTCCCGAGGACATGACGGATTGGTGGACCGAGATGTCCTGGTCGCCGTTCATATTTACTGGCATCTCGGACGTGGTATAAATGACGTTAAAGCGGGTCTCGGGACCGATATCCTGGAATGTCGCCGGCGAAGCCGTGTGGACTATCGAGACGCCCTGGACATCGTGAGTTGTGACGAAGGTGGTGGGCGTGCGAAGGTTGGGCGGGTGAGATACGTTGTTTGTTGCCATGTTTGGTGATGCGAGCGGGTGAGATCTCGTGGATGAGGAATGGCGATTGAAATGGATAGAGTACGTGAATTTTTCGAGCTGGATCGACACAGTGCTTGGATATATATTCGTGAGGACGACGGTCGTGGGAAATCTATATCAGGAATCAAACCAGCGGGTAGTCAGGAAATCTGCGTTAGGACTAGCTCCAGATGGTCTGCCAGAGCCAGAAGTGACTTGAGCGGGCCCGGCAGACGAGCGGAATTCCTCCTCCGCTCGTCAACGGTGGGATCCGTATAGGCCGATTCGAGACCAAGGTCCCCTCGGACGACTCCTCAATTTTCCGCAACACGACTGATCTCGTCCAACATCCCGGATTATTACGTGTTAGGCCTGCGACGCCTGGGCAACAGGCGTGAACTAGGAAGTCCTTCGACGGCCTGTGGGGACGTTGTGGGTCGGAAAAGAGCGGTAAATCTCCCATCAGTTAGGAAAACAGCTAGAGTCGACAAATCAACGACAGAAGCCTTCTACACCTTTCAGTGCCTAGACTTATGACAGATCGGAGGAGGTCGACCCACACTGTGTGCAGCAGTCGTGTTGGAACAGCAGAATAAACCAAGGTCGTACAGGCCAAGGTGTGAAGTAGAATGGAGTCGGCGCCGGCCATAAAGCCATATCATGTGACAGGCTTGGTGATGCGATTTTACCATATGACAATATGAGTGCATGCGTTACCGATAGTAGGTAAAGAGGGTGCCTTGAATAACTTGATTCTAGAGCTGCTTGGGCCATAGTAACACTTGACTGTTACTTTGACAGCAGAGGCGCATATCTTGGAGACGCGCAGTATATTCGGAATTCTAGTAAACCAATAAAGGACACGTGAAGCTCAGATAGTCCAAAGGATCTTGGTCAGCAGCAGATGAGGTTTTGGTGCGTGGCCCATTGTCAGAAGCAACCCCCATATTCGGTGGCTACGCGAGGTTGAGAAATCTGCTTCATAGATGTTTTTGCCTAATAGCTTCGTCCAAAACTCGGCCATGCAGATATGATGAGGAGTGAGCCCTGAATCTTTGGCATATGCGGGTACGGCATGCTCAAGACAATGTGAGGCCGTCTCTACCGATCAAACTGCCCATCTATAGACGAGGCATGATTGGTCCTGTACACAGTCCAAACCTAACATTGTCGGTTCCAACACCTAACCAGATGACAATAAGTGAAGCTGACAAGGGGACCTGACAATAGTTCTGGCTTTGCCCAGCCTAAGTGACCAGCTTGGCAGTCCATCTCCTGGCTCTCGCGCCGTAAATGTACATGGGAATCGTGGTCAGGAAAAGCAAGCCCTCGATCAATACCATATACCCCGAGACCTTTGCATACCCATCGCGTGTGAGCCAAGGGTTCACGGCGAAGCTGACGGCAAAAGCGAATGTGTTCTTGAACGCAGTCAAAACAGTGATCGATTCTCCGCTCAAAGGCTTGTAACAGTCGACGACGTATGTCATGCCTACTGCCGGAACCGCACACAGGACACCGTACGTGATGCCCGAGCCGACGATGGCGATATAGGGATCCAGATGATTTCCAAGGCCGCAGCCCCACATCAGAAGACCAACAGGCCCAAGGATGGCCGATGGGATAATCAACCAGAGGCGGAACTCGGGTTCGAAATAGCCTTTCCGGCGCTTGGTGATCCAGTGGACGACCCAGTCACTGGCCGGACCGCCAAAAGCACAGCCAAGGATGGCACCGATTAGATACTGCGGATATGGTCAATGGAAGAGCGAAGTCGCTAGAGTTGGGGAGACGATACCGAAATATTGAGGTTTCCCACTCCAAACTCAGTAAAACCGTAGACCTCGGGGAAGGCGGTGGCGTTCGCCGTTTGCTGGAGAACGACCCAGCCCAGGGTGATTCCGTAGGTGATGGAAGCCCAGACGACAGCCGGAAACTGGAGCAAGAGAAGTGGTCGCAACCACAAATGCCAAATAGATGTATCTCTGCCGATAAAGTCAGCAAGATAATGGGAAAAGAGGTCATTACACCCACACAGGTGTGCTTACCTATCGTACCAACCGGTCATGCCCAGACCTTTAGTCCAACTACCTCGAAGTTGAGATCTGAGCTCAGCAAACTGCGACACTTCCATGCCCTCGCCAACCTCGCTTACAAGGGGTCGGCTGAAATTTGTTTCGGCCTGGAAGATGACTGTAAGGAGCAGACAGACTCCAGTAAGAATGGCGTCCATCCAGAAGACCCATCTCCAGTCCGTGTTGTAGTGACCGATCAACCCGGCGAAGATGCCTCCAATGGCTGAACCACCCGCAATCATGAGGCTGCGTCATGTCAGAAAGGTGGAGTCCACGAGCCAGGGGCTTTGTATTGACGTACGTGTAAAGGCCGACCTTGGCGCCTCACTCGTGTAGGAAGTACAAATCGGCAACCTAGAGCAGGTCAAAGAGGTGTCGCTCTCAGCTTGGGAATCGTAACGTACGATTGCCACCCCAAGCGCTTCTGAACAGCTTGCTCCCCAGCCTTGGACGATCCGTGCTCCCAACAAGGAGCCCCAGGAGCTTGCTTTGGCAGACCAGATGGCTGGTTCTCCATGAGTATCCAAGCCTTACGCGTGAGATGTGAAGGCTTCGACTCACTGGAACCGAAGAAGACCGCGGCGCAGATTACCAGCACTGGCCGTTTTCCAATCTTCTGTGCCAGTGGCACCCAGAACAAATTCTGACAGATGGATCAGTTATTCGAGCTTGTGCTCAGATAGACTCAGCCCGTCACTCACCCCCAAACCCAAAGTCAGAATGTTGCAGGTGATCAGGTACGTGGCCTTTGTCACGCTGATATCGAACTCGACAATGATTGGGACAAGAATGGGTGAGATACTCGCGGTGATGTAGTTGGACATGAAAACAAAGAAGCACGTCGCAACCATGACGAGAGCCTTGCGCCAGGGGCTCCATGTCTATACGGAGGTACATGGTCAGAAGACGCCAGCCAAATGGAATGGAGCTCCTGTGTCCTTACCAGTGGATCTGCCGGATCGGCGGTTGGACATGGAATGAGATATTTGCCTGTGACCTTGCCATTGGTATCCTCTGATCTCTGTTAATATGTTTGTTCCCTTATTCTGACGATGCTTTGTACCTCTGTACAAATGTGCAGCCTCTATGAGGCCGTGACTTTGAAGGTTGAGCCTCTCCCCCGACTCAATCTCGATATGGTCCGTCCAGAGGCGAGGGTCTCCCTCCTTGGTGATTTGTGCCATTGTCGTGATCGTCGTTGATCAGTAACAGAGGGTGCGCAGAGTAGAAGCACTATCTCTCTGTACACTAACAAGGTTTTCCCTCCTGGCATTTATAACACGCCAGACGCCATCGATAATGACAGGGACGTACGCAGAAGCCGATGCTAACCTCCACGTGATATTCCGAAACCCCGGACAAGATCTAATCCCGGAGAACAAGGATCCACTTCATGACGGTTTTGAGGCTGATGAACGTTCGAGGCATTCACAGACAACTAAGCCTCCGACACGGAGAACGTGCAAGGTGATTTCCGAGGCCGGATGGCGAAGGTATGGGAGTGTCCGCCAAACACAAGACTGTGCATTCGGCTTGGCTATTAGCTCAAGGGCTTCGAGGCTATTGCTATGGCCAGACTTGGGAACACAATTCTAGCCTCATGAATACAATGATTGGAGGTTCAGGAGCACAACAGATTCAGACGTATACCACGTCAGACTTGTGGTGGCACACTCAAGCAAGGCTTTTGAGCTTTGAGCTCGGACTACCCGCAAGGAGTAATAATAAATAAATCAGTGATCAAGCTCAGGGGCATCAGTGATCAAGCTCAGGGGCATCAGTGATCAAGCTCAGGGGCATCAGTGATCAAGCTCAGGGGCATCAGTGATC